TCAAACCATGGTTTAGCACTACCGGTACTTGATGTAATTTTTTTGCCTATAACCTCACGACATGTTTCAATCACAATTTTACAAGAAGAAAAGACCTCTGACCTTCAGGGTCAACTTGTGGCAAAAAGGACACTCAAGAGTTTAAAGCAATTTGGAGAGAAATGTAGAAACAAACTATCCTTAAGTAAAGGCTGTAAGGGATGGTGTAGGGATAGAGATAACCATCTTTTTTTGAAAGCATAACTTTTGAATTTCTACAAACCTGTCAACTTTTAATTGAAAAAAAAAAGACTACAAAACTGTGGCTACATACCAGCAATTACTATCTTTCATTTCAATATAGATTTTAGACCGACACTTTTCATTTTCTGACTATAACCCTGACACTGATGTTTTCTTGCAACTACTAGTACTGCAGCAAAATTAACCTACAATTCTATTTTAATATTAAAATGTACTCATCATATACGCGTATAATGCAATACCTTGTTTATATAACTCTTCCATTGCTTTCCACGTCTCAGCTCTCAATGATTTCACATTATTTGAACCATGTGGACACACTGGCCAATGAATTAAATACAAATCTGTAATAAATCAAATGTAGACCGTGATACAGTGATACAACAACAATAAAACAAGATGGGTTGGTAAATGCTATATACTATTCTGTAAACCACTTTAAAAAATGTTCACGATACAAATTTTTGTGAATTGTGAGTACATAAAAATCATCAAAATTTGTAGCAGTGTAAGTTTCTCTGAGGCCCCTATGCCATGGAGTTTTATTCACATTTGTCTTCACAACTGCCAAAAAATCATCAAATTGCTGAAATTTTAATATAAAACAGTTTAGACTACTGTAAATGGGTTAATGTTAAATTTTACATACCGGTATTCACTTGGTTTTAATTAAGCGCATTTTCCAGTCAGCGATTGCGAAATAAGCAAAATTAAAACTAAGTGAATATGTAAAATTTAGCATAGAACACATTATCTAAATAATAAAACCATGAATTTAAAGCCCACTGAATATGCCTGAAATGGCAAATAAGCGAAATTTAAACCTAGTAAAAATTAGTCATTTTACAGAATTTAATCTACATGTTTTATTGTAACCACTCAAGGAACCTAAAGTGCACACTACCTTATTTTCTCTATTAGTAGCACATGCTTATATGAAAATTACAAAATAAATTGTCATAATACAAGTACCGGTAAGTACTATTTAATGAATCAGTATACACCAAATGCAATTTTTTTTTATATGTCCATATGGTTTATACTGTAAAACACTTTATTTTCACTTGGAATTAATTTTTGCTATTTTCGCTGAAGGAATGATTCAGTGAAAATAAAATCCAGCAAATGTACCTTTTTTCTATATTTTACATTCAACTTGTCTAAAATCAGTAAAAATAAATTCCATACAAAACGCCCAAAAAGTCTTTTCAGTGAAAATTAATTCAAGCTAAAATAAAGTATTTTACAGTATTGGAGATATGCTTCTATTAAACCGAATAAATACAATATATATAAAGTATAAAATTCTAAATGTTCATTAGTCACATTAGACTCACTAGTCATGTGGACCACTCAACTTTGAGACTGCCTAAAGATGGTCTGATGGCAGTTTGAAAAAACTTGAAAATAAAATATGAAATTTCATGCTTAGTCAGTATTTACCAATGTACTCTACTTTCAGTCTCTGTAAGGATGCACTGAAGGCATCTATTGTCTTCTTGTATCCGAGCTCAGATTTCCATAGTTTTGTTGTCAGGAAAATGTCTTTCCTGGGAACATTGCTTTCTCTGATTGCCTTGCCCACAGCTTCTTCACATTTGTATCGCGCAGCTGTGTCAATGAGTCGATATCCACAATCTTTCAAAGCATGGACAACTGTAGAATGGCAGTATCCACCAATGTGGGAAGTACCTGTGGATATACATGTATTGTACTGTAGAATACTATTTTCGCTTGAAATTAATTTTCGCTAATTTCACTGAAGGAATGATTCAGTGAAAATATAATCTATGCTCCTCATGTTTTTCCTGTACAATCAAGAAAAACAAATCTGGCGAAAAATCCCTGACTTCCGGACGTTACTTTCCATGAAACAACTGTTCATCATAAGGAAAGTATTATTTCTTGTTGAAACTTGCTTGGCACATCACTGTACGTTTAGTTCCATGGTCTGCCACACTTATTTTCAGGAGACATATTTGTACAATCATAGACCATTCTAAGGTCTATGGTACAAACAATGATGAGAATCAATAAATAATTATTATTGGGTGGTGGTTTTGTTTTCAATCCCTGCAGGTACTGTAGTGTATTGTATAATGGTTTTGCAAAGTACTATGGAGCTTACTTGATATTTTATGAATGTCAGGCTCCAAGGGACGAACACTTGGCTTATCAGCATGTTCTACAAGTTCAATAAGCTTTGCCTTTAGTTTATTACTTCAAGTTATGCCCGCTCCTGGGGGAATTTACGAAGTTTTGGAACTTTCCTCAAACTAAGTTTATTCATTCAAAAAACCCTGAAATCATTATGCAAATAAGCATCTATTAGGAACTTGAATGTTGTTAATTACAGAAGAAAAACCAGACTGGAATTTGAATAATCCAGAGTGACAGCAGAGTTGACCTTTAGTTGAAGGGTTATGGTCCAATGCTACAACAAATTCTTTTCAGTTTTCTCCTAATTAAATACATTTTACAAAACAATTTCAACATAGTTACATAATAACAGAAGAAAGTATGAGATCCTTATCAGAAGCTAATCTACAAGCATCTGAGGGGATTTAATCCGGGATTACCTAAAATTCGCAATATATAATATATAGAAACAGAAGACAGAAAATGTACTAAATGCAACCTACTTGAGGATGAAATTCATTACATCACAAAATGTGAACTTTACACAGATGAAAGAGAGTTGTTTTATTCACATTTTTCAAAGAAAATTAACAATTTTCAACACTGTACAAACAAAGAAAAATTCATTCATATATTGAATACAAACAACAAATATTTACTAACAGAGCTTATCAAATTTATAAAAACAGCAAATACCATTAGAGAAAACCACCTAATGGGTCATTAATATTTTTTTTTTTTTAACATTATTTCATGTAACTGTATTGTAGTAGATTTTAGATATCTAACTTGTTATGTTTATTTTAACACCTTTATTGCATTTCATAAACCAAAATAGATATGTAATTCATTCTATAAGGTTGTAATAAAGAATTATCTTATCTTATCTTATATATATGTATATGTAAGAGTGCTTAAATAAATGATATAGGGCAGTTAGGTGCCAAGACAACAATAAAGCTCTATGAAGAATATCAATGAATGAATGAATGAGTGAGTGAGTGAATGAATGAATGAATGAATGAAATTATATTGCACTGTTTAGAAAATAAACAAATGTTTTCTTTTAAATGGTGACAGTGACAACGTAGAATTCAAGGTTATAGGGACTGTGGGTTAATGGTTAGATTATGTTAAGTCTGGAGAACTATATAGAGATGGCTCAAGACAGGGCCGATGTCATAGTTACATGTTTTTTGATGGAGGTATTATTATTACAACAGCTTACCAAGCGAAGTAGACAGAACACTACTTACCCAGTCCTAAAATTGGTATTTTCACTCCATTTGACAATCTTACGGTCTTTGTTTTGGGTGCTGTCATTTTATTTTAAACAACTTTTACGACTGTCGCAAAATATACGGTTAGAATGTTAAATTTAACAGAAACTTTGTGCAAATACACAAAATAATGTTTAATTATATATGTACGTAGTAAACGTAGTTTTAAACAGCAACACGTTATTGTCGATTCAACATTATACATGTCGTAAAGACGGCTAGTTTTGCGGCAGTGGTCAATAACCGGAAATATAACCGGAAGTAGAAAAGACAGCTGTTTGGGAACACACACGTGTGTTTTTTCGAATGGTATTATGTTGTTTTTAGTGGGACTTGGGCTCGGTGATGCCAAAGATATCACGGTAAAGGGACTAGAAATAGTCAAGAAAGCAAAGACAGTATATTTAGAGGCATACACGTCAATTTTGACTGTTGGAAAAGACGCACTGGTGAGTGGGGATTGCAAGTCGTTCACCAGTATGGCGATCTACACGTAATCGTGCGGTTGGTTGCAGAAATATTGGTTAGAAATGATAAAAACAATCAAAACTGCGGTTACACAGACCACAGTCATTCTCTCTCCAATAATAATAAGTTTTATGGATGGTGCGCATGCTTTACTTGCTTACAAATCTTTTCGTAATTTTTCGTAAATAACAAAATGCTAATGGTAATAAGGTTTAATAATAACTTTATTACACTATTATGCCATCAGAGGGCGCAGTATGGTAAATAAAATACAAATCATAAGAAAAAATACAGTAGCTAGACTATAAGATAAAATTAAAAATAAAAGATGTTAAAAGCTTAATAGGAAAAACAAATTAAGGATAGTTACAGGATTCTCCCAATGTAGAGGTGATAGCTATCATATACCTGATTTCTGTTTTGCCTTATTTAGAAACTTTACCAGGGGTATGAAGCACGTCATTATTTTAATGAAATTGTCTGTTTTATTTAGTTTATTTTTAATTCCTATTTCTTGAAACATTTCCCCTCTTTCTTTATTGAGAAATTCACAATCTAGGAAAAAATGTTGTTCGTCCTCATTTTTTACAAAATCGCTCATCCGCAGGAATTTTTGGTCGTTGTTGTCTGCCTCTTTCAATTTCTAAATTAATATGGTTAGAAAATATTGATCGCATTTTTGCATTTCCTCTGTGATTTTTTTATAATTTTTATATTTAAAAAACAACAAGACACGTCTAAGATGACTAGAGGATTGAAAAAAAATGAAAAAAACAACTACCTACTGTAATTTAAATTTCGAAAATTGCATGTTAGAAATGGGTTATGAAATCTTTGCCTTAGTTCATACAAAGACAATAATGTCTTTGGTTTATAAAGGTATTTATAAAAATATTGTAAATGCAGCTTGTGTACAAATGTAATAAAAACAAACAAACAATAAAAAAACTTAAAAGATAAAGACAAAAGAAATATCAAAATAAAAATTTCACTATTTTCGCAACTTTTAAACAGGGGATTTATAGATAGTATCTTTTAGGTGAAAGTATCTTAGTGGAAGTAGTATCTTAGTGAAAGGGCTTTTGCATTTTTCATTACCTCAAGAAAAATATCGTCTGGTAAATTAGACTTAGAGATCACAATCGTCAAAAAGTCTTTTCCTTTCACTTTTAAAGGAAGGACATATAAGGATAAAATGCTTCTCATCATCAAGAGAATTTATGTTACATCTTTTACATGTTCTGTAATCTAACAAAATTTTTGGTTTGTTCATTCTCCCTAGTTCAATCTCTAGATGGTGATCACTGAGTCTAAATTTACTTAACATTTTTCTAAGATTGAAATGCAGGGACATGCATTATATAACATAATCACCAGGATCGCCCAAGCACTTAGAAAATGTTCTAAGGTCTATGGTTGAACTACTGATTAATATTAATTAAAACACACAATTATGTCACAATGGATTGGTCAGTTGAAATTCTAACAGCTTTTTTATTTATACAAATTATTCGTAGTTATAGAACATAATGTCCTGTGCCATACACTGTAAAAGTTATAATTTATATAAATTCAAAATGGCCGTTGACCATTTCAGCAATGGTGTTGTAAAGTTGATATAGAATTTATTATCAGGAAATCGTGTGAATATCGATCATGTTGTAGTTACAACGAATCTTAGTATTTGACAAGATGATACTAGTATACTGTAAAAGGGTTAATTATTCACTGGGTTTTAATTTTGCTTATTTCGCTGACTGGAAAAAGCACTAAATTAAAACCCAGTGAATATGTCAAATTGAGCATAGAACGGATTGTCTATGATAAAACCATGAGTTTTAAACCCACTAAATATGCCTGGAATGCTAAATCAGTGAAATTTAAACCCACTGAAAATTAGTCATTTTACAGTACTATACAACCGGTAGTAATCAAACTAGTTTGGACAACAGTAATTCCCTGATCAATCAACAAATAAGTGTGGTGAGTACAATATACCATTCAATTTTCACTACTAAAAATGTTCAGGATTGTTCAGCATTTGTGAAGACAAAATTACATGACACAAATTTTCCATGCTACAAAATTTAGCATTTTTCATTGACTTACAAAATTCACGAAAATTTGTCTCTCGGATCACAAGAATTAAATTTGATTGGCAGTATTGTTTCACACCACGGTTAGACTCCATACAGTGTCCCTGTTACAGGAAGAATACTATGGAAGGGAGGTTATTCTTGCTGACAGAGAAATGGTAGAACAGCATTCTGATGATATGTTAAAGGAAGCTAAATCCGAGGATATAGTCTTTCTGGTTGTTGGCGATCCATTTGGGTAGGTATATTGAATAATTTATTTTTAATGTAAGGTTATTTTCTAATAAAATTGTTGGGGTAATCTGTGTTACACCAAGTGCAGTTAGTATGCATCACTATCCTAACCAACAGTCAAGACAATTTTCTAGTTCCACCATTACCTTAGAATTAAACTTGTGCACTCTGATGTAAAGGAGGGCGGGGTTAAATGCCAGGAACACGGGCAACCAGTGACTAATTTGATAAATTGTGAAGCTAGAATTTTAGTTGGTATATTGGTAATTTTCAAACAGTTTGTGAGAATATATTGCTGTATTTTGCAATCTTAGTTCTATTGGTGAGACCAAATTTATTCTCATCATTTATTTATCTTTAATCAGTTGATTGTATTCTCACCATTTAGAATAAATTTTTGCATCAACAGTGGCAAAATTGAAGATGCAATCTCCCTAACTACATGTGTATCTATAATTTAAATAGTATTCCATCGTTCAAATCGCATGATTTAGAGAGCTTGATGTAAACACTCCTTTATGAACCCTTGTTAAAATGCATAGATCTGATTGGAGACGCCTCAAAAGAACTGCCCAATCACAGTTTGCATAACATGTAATGTCATGAATAAAATGTACGTTGTAGCATTGTGTTGCTGATTATGAAGAATTGTTGATGTATTTTTTCCAATTTTGCGCATTTCCTCGTGCTAGAATTATCTTTGGTATGTGGCCTAGCACTGAACTATTTATACGCTATCACCGTGGATCCTGTAACAGTGTGTATTTGGTATAGGCATTGCGTAATAGTTCCTGATTCCATCTGTTCCTTTCTAATATGGAATACAGAGCCTGCATCGCAAACATGGGTCAATATTTAATATATTGAATTGTTTTAACTCTTAAAGATTTGTCAGATCACAGTTCATAGCCCAAAGACCTAAATACAGTTGACATGTTTTCACTTTTTAGCTCCGCTGTCGACTTTGTCGGGCGAAGCTTATCATATGAGTGATTGTCCGTCGTTGTCCGTGTCAATGTTTTACTTTTTCGACTTCTTCTTGAAAACTACAAGCCTGAATGCTTTGATACTTGGTGTATATGTACCTTGGG